GTCCAATGCTGGGCAGCCAACTCCTGTTGGGAGCTTTGGCATGCTTCAACAAATAGGAGGAACTGGAAAACCCATGGCCAGGGGAGAGAAAAGAGGAGAGAGAGGGAGAGGGGAGAGGGGAGAGAGGAGAGGGGAGAGAGGAGAGGGGAGAGGGGGAGATGGAGAGGGAGAGGGGAGAAGGGGAGAGGGAGAGGGAGGGAGGGAGAGAGAGAGAGAGAGAGAGAGAGAGAGAGAGAGAGAGAGAGAGAGAGAGAGAGAGAGAGAGAGAGAGAGAGAGAGAGACCTTGCTTTATAACTATGGACTCCTTTGGGAACTGATGCATTCTCAAGAAAATAAGAACTCAATCATGGGAGCAAGGCATTAATTCATTCATGAGGGCTCTGATACTGTATAGGCCAAACACTTCACACAAGCTTTACCTCCCAACACTACTACAGTAGTGTTGTAAATATATTCAATATGTAAATATATCGAAAACATGGCAGAGGCTACTGAGATGGCTCAGTGGATAAAGGTGCTTGCTGCCAAGCTACTGACCGAAGGTCTATTTTTGGATCCACATGGTGGAAGGAGAGAATCACCTCTGACCTCCAAATGTGTGTGGTGTTATTCATATGCACTTCCATACCAATGTGAACACACACTAAAAAGTAAATAAACAAATGTAAAAAAAGTCTTTTCAAAGCATAGCAGGAATCTCCTGGGTCAACGGAGGGCTCATTGGACCCCCTCCTTCAAGAATCTGACACCATTTGCCAATTCCAAAGAGGTTGACAGCCCTATACCTTAGCATCGAGCTTGGAAGGGACAAGGATCAAGGCTTGGTTTCCTGGTCTCAGAACTTTTCCAGCCCCCTGGTCCCTCACTTCAGCCCTTGCTTTACTCAGCTTTATCCAGCTCTACCCCTGACATACTTGGTGTATGTCAACTTGACAGGATGTAGAATTGCCTAGGAGACAAGCCTCTGAGCATACCTATAAGAGATTTATCTATTTTAGGTTAGTCTTTGGGCATGTTTGGGAGGAAGTTTCTAGATTGAGTTAATTGAGGTAGAAAAACCCACCCTAACTATGGGTTGCACCATTCCCTGGTCTGAGATACAAGACTGCATTAAAAGAAGTACGCTAGCTGAGCACCAACATTTATTACTCTGCTTCCTAATGGTGGATACAATGTGACCAGGCATCTCTTAATCCTACCTCTGTACTGTCCCTGCCGTGATGGATTGTACCCTTGAACTGTGAGACAAAATAAACCCTTTCTCCTATAAATTGCTTTTATTGGGGTATTTTATCACAGCAATAAGACAAGTAACCAAAATACTTGGACTCCACCTTTCTGGGCTTCACCTCAAAGGAACGAGCTTCCATAAATCCACCTGTCTGAAAAGCTGGAAAACAGGTGGCAGGTAGAGGGGCCCTTGTAGAGTGGGAGGATGGGGTTCACTCTGTCCTTCTCTCTGTGCCTACCTGGACGTGCTGCAGAATCCTGTGGGCACACCAGCCCCCTAGTTCTGTGTACTTGCTGGTCAGTTCCTCCCCAAGCTGCTCCACCAGGCTGAGCAGCATACCACCATGGGCTCTGTGGCCACATTGGAAACAGCCAGGTGTGGTGACTCAAGCCTTTAATCCCAGAAAGTGAGTCTTTAATCCCAGGGAGTGATGGCAGAAAGCAGAAAGATATATAAGGCATGAGGACCAGAAATTAGAAGCATTTGGCTGGTTAAGCATTTAGGCATTTGAGCAGCAGTTCAGCTGAGAGCCATTGGGATGAGGACACAGAAGCTTCCAGTCTAAGGAAACAAGACCAGCTGAGAAGTTGGCCAGGTGAGGTTAGCTGTGGCTTGTTCTGTCTCTCTGATCTTCCAGTGTTCAACCCAATACCTGGCTCAGGTTTGATTTTATTAATAAGAACTTTTAAGATTCCTGCCACAGCTTCATTCTGTGGGGAGACCAGGCAGAGGCTGCATGCTTTGTCCCATTTCTCTTCCCAAGGAAGGACCCAGGAATTAACCTTCAGTGGAGGAGGAAGGGTTGTGTCCTTTTGTGCTCTCCAAAGACACCTGCTTTCTCTGCTGCTAAACAAGCACAGCCTTACAGCCAAGCACTAGGGCTCAGGCAGATCTACCACACCCTGTCTGGAAGTGGCTCTTGGATGCAGGCCACTCACAATCAGTCTGGACATGATTTGGTAACACAAAGGGCCCTGGAAGGAGGGTGTTACCTCTTCCAGTTGAGTAAAGGACAGTGATGGTATGGGAGGTAGGACTGAGGTGAAGGAGACTTCTGGGTAGGGGATGGCCCATAGTCAGGATGACAATATAGTACGGTAGAAAGAAGCATTGCCAGAAGCCTCTAGACTGTGGACCCAGAAGCAGGAGCTCATGATTCTGCAGAATTAACAATAACACAGAAAGAATTTAAACTTCTGGATGAAATTGGCATGTATGGGACAGAGGACATGGATGGACAGAAATGTAGGAGCAGACCTTCCTCCCATATATGCTGTAGCTGAGTCTGGTGCCTGCTTTTAGAAATGCTAGAGTGATGACCTTTTAGTACCAGCTCTTTGGAGCACAGAGTGGCCTGCTGGTCAGCAAGCAACTGTGACATTTGGTTGGGGATCAGATTGATAGGATTTTCACATCTGACAACTCATTTCATCTTGGTTCAGTAAGAGTGGTCCTGCCCGGGACAGACAGAGTCAGAAGCAGGGATGTCAATGAAGCTGACAGAGGCAGGGAGGAAAAGGGTAGGGGTGGGTCTGAAGCTACTTTAGATGAAGTGTAAATTGTACCCACTAAAGTATATAAATCCCAAAAGCTTACGTGAACGCACATCTTGTGATTATTTTGTTGTCCCCCACTCCCACCCCTGCTGTCCCCCACCTCTATTGCGAAGATCTTGCCATGTGCTTTTGCATTTCTGGGGTCAAACACACAGCAAGTGCTCAATAAATACAGATTGAATACAGGTCAGAAAGAAGATGAGAAGTGAGGAAGAAGAGGGATATTTCTGGTACATATTGCCTGAAAAGTCTGTAATCATGTTATTTATTATATGGTTAGCACTTTGCTTTTTAGATAGAGTCTTGTTCTAGAGCTCAGGCTGGCTTGAATTTTAAATCCTTCTGCTTCCACCTCTTGAGTGCTAGGATTACAGGTATTCACCAACTACTGGCTCTGTGTGGTTACCCTTTAAGGAAATACATTTCCAGTGTATGCCTAACTATTAGAGGGCCTGTGAGGTGGGGTAGACAGAGACACAGATCCACAGTCTTCAGGAAAATGGGCCAGGAGACATGGGGGAAAGGAAGCTAAAATGTAGTAAGCACCTAATCAGAAGTCATTCTACAAGACAGTTGTCTCTGCTTGGCAGGCCTCCAGCTCCAAGTGGGCCAAGGCAGATGGTGTGATGGATGTTAGAATTCCTAGCTACTCCCCAAGCTACATGACCACACGTGTGCTGTCCAGTAGCCAGGCAAGATGCTTAGTCATCCTAGGGCCTTACGTCCTACATAATTCAAGTGTTGCATGATCACATAATCTGTGTGCAGTGTGATCACATAATCAATGTGCATGCATGGCATAGCTACGTAAGCCCATATGCACATGTGCAGGGGAACCTATAAAAGAGGGTTCCACCTATTCCTCCCCCCTCTTCCTGCATGGTCATTCCATAGGCCTATGCACACCTCCTCTCTATTCCCTTTCCTTAATAAACTCTTACAGTGGGTTTTGTTGTACCTTGTGGCTTCTCTTGCATGGTAGACATCGCCGCTTAATAAATAACATTGAGCTGCTTAATAAATAACAATGGGAACTTAGGACAAAAGAGGGCAGTGCCTATACCAGCCCATGAAATGGCAAGCAGAAACTCCTTAGGAGGCTTCACATGATATCTCCAAGACATTTGCATATTTGAATGTTCCACTAAAGAGAGAGACAAAAAAGCACATCCTTGTTTCTTCTAATGTCCTTTGTTTTGCTCTGCAGAAGCTGGTGATGGAGAAGCTACCAGGCTCTGCAGGGCAGGAGAACTAGGAGAGAGGAATTTTAGGCTGTGCCCCTCCCTCCCCCTATCAAGCTGCAAGAGCAAGTTTAGCTTATTCAAATGATCTGTGATTTTGTCTCATGCCAACTCAAGCTTGCTAGAATCATGCTTATACACACTTATGGAAAAAAAATAGGTGGAATTATTAGTAACATACAAAACCAGGACAGCAAATGACAGGTTCATTCCTCACAACTAGTTTGCAAGCAGAGATAGCTAAGCTGGGTTTGGGACAGGTACACTGGGAAACAGTTGCTTGTCAGGTAGGTGTTAGGCCATTCCCACCCAAATCTATAAGAATCAATGGCTGTGCTGATGGGATCCTAGAGTAAAAGATGATTAGGCACGCCTGGGTCCTTTCCAGAATCCAGGGAAAACAACTGGTTAGGGAGTCATACTTTTTTTTAAAATGTTGCTTTCCACTGGGTCTCCCATCCTGGATCTGGTCTTCCCCAAATGGGGTAGCTGCCTTCACATCTGAGTCCTTTGTATCTGAAGGAGTCAGGAAGCCTGGGGGCCTGATCTCTTTTCTGAGGCAATGTTCACCAGAGTGCCAGCCACTGCCTACCAAAAGGATTGACCTTCCATTACTGCCTTTTCTTAGTCTTGAGAGGTAGGTATACTCTCAAGTACCAGAACCCATTTGCCATCTCATTTAGGCTCTTTAATCTCAGATTCAGAGGTGGGTAGCCTGCAATGAGATGGAGAAAATGATGTTTTTGTTGAGAGCCAACTCATGGCTACAGGCAAACCTCCTTTCCCCTACCCCAATAGTGCCTGTCCCCTCCAGGTGTCCAGTAAATGCCAAGATCACAAATCCTTGCAGAAAGCAAGCTGGAAGTTGAGCTGGATACTAGGAGGGTGATTCTGTGTGGACTACCTCATGGTGAAGACAATGGAAAGAACTGATAAGTGAAGCCTGGACAAAATGAGTCAAGGAAGACCTATGCCATTTAACATATATTTATTGAAATCTACTAGATGCAAGGCACTGTGCTAGATTTGGTAGGGAATTAGACATGAAAGGCCACCCCTGTCTTCTAAGAGCTCACAATCTAATAGTTTGGGGAAGGCTGAGAAAAGGGGAGGAGAAGCCAAGTCCACAAACAGCTCTAGTACAAGGCTGATTATAGTGAGTGCCATAAAACAGACAAGATAATCAGACCGGGGAAGAACAAGAATGCCCAAAACTGAATACAAACTGGGTAGGACATAACTACTATTCTCAGAGATACACAAGTAGCATTGAGGATCAAGTTGAAAGATACTATTTCTATTTTTGAAAGTAAGTACCCAAACCAATATAATGCAAACTATAGAATGTAAGCACACTAGGAATAGAGGTGTTATCAATCCCCTAATCTAGCAGGTTTGCTGAAAACAGTAAAACACTTCCAAAATAGTAGAACAGGCTACAATGAGCTCATCTTATGAGCCAAATGCTGTTCGGAAAAGGAACTACACTCATACAGAAGATCATAGGTTAAACCCAGAGACTAAAAGGCATAGAGTTCTACCCATCTTAGTAAACAGAATACAGTACCACATTTAAACAGGTGTTCATGTCAATCAAACTGGGATTGAGGCCAGGAATGTTGGGTGGGTAGAATGTGAGGAAAGCCAGCAATACAAGTCTTCTCAGGAAGCCACCCAATTGTCAAATGCAATTGGCTCTTGGCAAATTTCAAAAAGCACAGACCCACTCAAGGTGGCTCAGGGCAATGGGAGGAAGTATATGCTGAGGACACACATAGACTGATGCAGGCAGCTGCCAGTAATCCAGGAACATATATCCAGGCCTCCCTCAGAGTGAGACCCAAGTAGCTCTAGGCAGGACAGCAGGAACATATAGATCTCCACTATGGTTCTACTCACAGGGGGAACTCCTTGAAATACCTTGTGCCTCCCTCCATGGTCCAATACCAACCAGAGTCTTCAGCTTCCTCGTTTGCATTTCACATGCCTAAAAGGCCAAGTCCATCTTCTCCAATCAGGTCTGACTGCTGGTTGCTGCCTTTGGGTCAGGTGTCTGGGATTGGCTTAATTAATGTGGCCCAAAAATGGGGTGGTGAGTCATGTAGCACACAACAGGGCCACAGTCCAGGACTGCAGGCAGGTCAGGTGTCATGCCACTTCAAGCATAAAAATCAAGCACACAGACTGCAGTATCATGGGAGAAAGATGCTCACACTGTGATCTGGTGGGGATTATTCTGTAAATTCAAGAGTGGGTATTATACAACTAATTGATATAATACAACTAATTGATATAGTTAATCATAATAAGCAGCAAAATGGTAAACATTTGCTTTTTAAAAAATTTCAGCAAGTATTACAAACTCTAATAAAAGCCACACGGGGTTTCTTTCTTAATATGGTAAAGGAATGGATCTCTACAGGGAACCATAATTCTATGCAATCTAGCTGTTCTCCATTCCCTTTCAAGAATATATGTGGTTAGAAAGAAAAGTGCAATGAGGTAGATACATGGATGCATAGACGAGCACACACTTCAAGAAGCTTGCTCACATTTGCATGGGACATAGCAGTACACCTAGTGGGTCCAAGGAAAACCATCCCCACATTACCCAAGGCAAAGGATGCAACTGTGAGCCACATGTTAAAGCCACACACTGATTGCATTTGGAGAAAGAGCAGGGATTTCACCACCAACACCATTTAAAAGCTGATCCAATAATAGTCATGGAAAGAACACTGGTTTATAGTGTTAACTCTAAAACAAGGATTTGTTCAAGAAAAAATTACAGAATCCAAACTAGAAAAGAGTAAAAGAGGGCAGGAAGGGATGTGAAGAGATGTCATGTCCTAGGGCATGCCCTGGACAGTGATCACACTGCTGGCTTCCGAGTTAGTGCTACTCTAGACTTCAATAATACCTTTTGTCAACCTTGACAAATGATGAGCAAATGAGCAAGAAATGGCATTTCCTGCAAGGCAAAGGTGCCAGATTTGTTTCTTTTGATGTTAACATTCCTTACCCAATAGCTGTACAAAACATGTCCTAACAGCTCACAATGAGAAGAGTAATCTGAGAAAGAAGTGGGTCCAGACCCATTCACAAGAAACCACCAGAACTGAGCCCACAGAGCAATAGGAGTTGCTGTGCAGCAACTGCTGTTGGCTTCGCTCAGCCTGGAGAAGGCCCACAGAGCCACTGTGGTGGCCTGCAGGCATTAGGCCCTTCTGGCCAAGATTATGGAGGTCATTATCAGTCAGACCTTGCTTCCCAGGATGGGCTGGGACCTCCCTTACTAGGCTGCCATAAGGGCATTTTCTGACCTTCCAACACCCCTTAGGGCACAAACGGAAACTCAGGCCACAGCCTTGATGTGGCTATCTTCCCCACCTGCTGTTTCTCCTAAAGGGGGCTGCCTGAAGCAAGGCCCAACTGCAGGGTGATCAGTTTCGATTTCTGTGCTACATAGACTGTCAGAATGGCTTCTTGCCCTCTGATCTTGTTTTATTGCCCCTCTTGGGCATGGCTATTCCAAGTCCTGGACCAGACCTGGTGCAACCAGGTGCAACTTCTGTGGCATGGCATGCAGGCTACTGGAGGAACACAGCTCCATTTCTCTCCAGGCCTATGTTGTCATCCCTTAAATGTGGCTGCAGGAAGTGATGCCAGAACACATGGGTAAATTTCTCATCCTACTTGCAGAAACTACAAAACTGATCTCTCTCATTCCAGAGTCACTTGATGGGAGGAGGATAGAGGTCATATAACACACCAGTCAGGTGAGTCTTCTGTGTCTGAGATGTTTCTTAGGTGGAGCTGCTGCTCAGTCGCTGAATCCAAAATAGTCAAGGCTCCTGATAGCTTGAAGGATGATTGGCTGCTGCCAGATCATATTTGGACCATTCTGTTGGCCTAGGTGAAGCTGAGCCCTGTTGCTGGTGGCTGGGGCTATAATGATGAGCAGTCACAGAGTGTTCTGAGCAATGTGTGATGCACATGTCTCTAGTGTGCCTCAGTGGCCAGGTTGTATAGTCAAGTGCTGCCCACAGACATATATAGAGTCTGCATCTTGGATGAGGCATGGGCCTGCTTCTCTGGTCCACTCCCATCCAGCCTGCCCACCTTGTATGTTCACTTTCTTAGTGGACAAGGGATTTAGCTTCTCTTTTATAAGTAAATTCTCAAAGAAAATGTCATCATATCTAAGTACTGAAGCAATGAAAGTCACAAGTTAACAGACAAGAAAGAATTCAAGGATACGTAAAAAAATCCAAAGCCTGCACAACAAAAATGTAATAAAAGTACTAAAAAAAGCCAAGCAATAAAAATTGGAAAATAACATCACAATTGATATGGAAAGAACTACTATATAAAATCAATATATCCAAAGGTAACTTGATATCTAGTCAAAGGAGATGAACGGATAATTTGCATGCAAGAAAACAGAAACAGTACTGAAGTCATAGCATGAAAAATGAGAGTAATAGTCAGGAGGCCCGAGGGTCCACCCTTGTTTCTGGTACTACTGAGCTGTGGGATGTCAGCAAGTGACCTTCACTGAGTATACCTCCTTGCCAGGCAGCATTCTTGCAGGCAAGGCATACTCCTTGAGAACCTTAGGAGATAGGGACTATGACTACTCCCCACTTCACCGCTGGAAATGGAGGGTTGGAGAAGTACCATTTATGTCTGATATCAGGTGAGGATCTTCCAAGAAAGAGGAGTCACTTCACCTTAAGTCCTGATGATGTCCTTCTCATTTGGGGGTGCTATCTCACTTTATTTTGAACAAGATGACACCGTGTGAGGAGAAACTGATGTTTATGGTGTTCATAGGGGACATTGGATTAAATCGGCTTAGCAAAATGAGAGACAAAAAAAGGTTTATCTCCAGCTCAGTAAGTTTTACTAGGAGTGTGACCCAAGAGTAATGTATGAAATGGAAAAAAAGGCCTTTTTAAAGGCCATTTGGGAAAGCACTACTTTAAGTGGTTATGTTGTAGGTACAGTACTAATTTAAAAACACAAAGTAATGGTTCTAATGTTATATGAATATGTTTTTACGGCTTGAGAGGAAACTTCCGATGAAAGCCTCATGCAGGGATTGTCACAGTGCTACCATAGCTCAAAACAGAGGGGACTGATGACTCAAACAGGTTCCCATGTTGGTGAGGTCAAAAATGCACATCAAGAATTAGAAACAAATGGAGTATGGTGAAAAAGAGTATTCTCTAAATTAATATATTATTCCATATAATGTGATTTATAATATGTATCTTATAAACTAAATTAATAAATTAAATATTATGGCATTTGATCTATTTACATCCCTAAAATTTTATGAATTCAAGTAGGCCAAAATCTTGGGGCAATTTTCCTTTCAAGAAAGGTGCATCATCATATTGATGCCACTGAACAGTCCTCAGGGGTAGAGCTTGAAAAGGACTTCCCATGTCCCCACTAGATCCCCATATGCAGATTTTTCTTCTCATTCTAGATGTGAAGATTAAAATACCTTGACAGTACTATCTGCCAGGAAAAGTAGCCAAGCTATGTTAAAATGGTAAAAGTTACCCTCAATAGTTGTAGTGGGAAACATGAACTTTTATAAATTGCTGGTGGCAGTACAAATCATTCTAACCTCTCACACAATAAAATAGATAAGCGCTACAAAACTGTTCATCTCCTTTGACTGGGCCATGGCCTCTGTGGACCCCTGATATAGGTCCCAAGGCAGTGTCTACTCCCGATGGGAGGGCTGGTGCTTCTGCAGTGCTGAGCGCCTCTTGAACACACGACCACACTCATTGCACTCACAGTGCCTGGCTCCACTGTGGATCCGCCTGTGGCGGCTCAGGCCTGAGCTCCTCCGGAAGGCCTTGCCACACTTATCGCACTCATAGGGTTTCAGTCCACTGTGGATGCGCCGGTGCTTGATGAGGTCAGAAGGCCCCCTGAATGCCTTACTGCACTCGCCACATGCGTAAGGCCGCTCACCACTGTGGATGCGCTCGTGCTCCAGCAGGCTGGAGCTTTGGCGGAAGGCCTTGCCGCACTGGCCGCACTCATAGGGTTTCTCACCCGTGTGGATCCTCCGGTGCTTGGTGAGCTCTGAGCTCCTCCGGAACAGCTTGCCGCAGTGAGGACAGCCATAGGGTTTGGCGCCGCTGTGGATACGCTGGTGCTCTGCCAGGCCGTTGACACCACGGAAGGATTTGCCGCAGTCGTCGCAGTCGAAGGGCAGGTGGCCCGTGTGCATCCGCTGGTGCTTGAGAAGTTCCTGGCGGTCCAGGAAATCCCTGCTGCACGCCTTGCACGCAAAGGGCTTTTCCGAAGTGTGAAGCTTCTGATGTCGAAAGAGGTGGGTGTTGGCTTTGAAGGACTGCCCACACTCCTCACAATCAAAGGGCTTCTCTCTGCTGTGCACCCTCAGGTGCTGACTAAGGCCTGCATTCTTCTTAAACCTTTTCCCGCACTCCTCACACTCAAAGGGCTTCGCCTCCCTCTCCATTTGCTCCCTCTTTTCCAAGGCATCTTCCAGAGCCTGACTGGGGCCAGGCCAGGACTGAGCGGCCAGAGCTGCGTGGCTCTTCCTGTGCTCATTAAATACTGATACCCCCCTGAAGACCTTCCCGCAATCGCCACACTCCCAGCCCTTCTCCTCACTGTGAACCCTCTGGTGCTGAACAAGGAGCACTTTAAGGCGGAAGGTGTCCCCACACTCTTTACATGCAAAATGGTGTTCTATGGGCAGATTTTGTGGGCTCCCTCCCCTTCCCCCAGAGTCCCCATTCTGTTTGACCTCAGCGCTGGGGTCATTGGCCCTCGGGGAGCTCGTGGACGCCATCTCTTGCAGCTGGGCTTCTTCACCCATCTTCTGGTGGGAGGTCACAGAGGTGCTTTCTACAATAATAAATGATAAATGAGACACAACAGTTTACAGAAGGCTTGGGAAAAAGGCTACTTTCCTTTGTTGATAATCCCCTCTCCTGCAACTGCTGAGTACCAGAAAGGGCCTACAAGGCATCAGAAGCAAGCACCAGAAGGAAATGTGGGAGAGTACTGATTGTGGACATTGCTTATCAAAGGAGCTGTGAAGATGCCTTTGCTTTTAGCAAGGGGACAGTCACACCTCATTACCAGAGCTTCAACTGGGCCCTCTACCCTAATCCTAGACCCCACAAGTTTAGCTGGTCTTCCTGAGTCTAACTTCAACCCCAAGAGCTCAGTAGCCCCCTGCAACCCAAATCTCAACCTCTCTCCCAAATTTCCTCATGCTTCTTCATGTTTCCTTTATGCTCACCAGCGTGCTTAGTGTGATCTGTGCTGAGGGATGGATCTGATACCAACAGAACTTGTCCTTGTGACAGGTGAGATACCAAAGCAGGACTCACAACAGGAACTCCTGTTATTGGAAGAAGGCAGCTGATAAGTATGGAGGAACAAGGGAAGAGCTGTCAAAGGAGATCCCCTCTAAATCTCCTGAGATGTCTATGACTTTATCATGTAAGTCATACATGCAGTGCAAATGCACTTCCCAAGGGCCAGCTCCTTCTGGGGACTGTAGAAAGGCAGGCTCTGGTCCCTTAACAGAGGCCCCAGAAAAACAGAAGTTCATCCTGGCCAGATGAACTTACCCCATTGTCTACCAAGCCATTCTAATACCCCACCACTGAATGCCATGCTCTTTCCAGACCTCTACAACTCTTAAACCAAACTCTTAACAGTTCTTTCTTCAAAAATCCCCCACCCCATGCAAACACCTGATGGATAAACAAGAACTCCACAACAATGAGCTCCAATCAACTAGCCATATGGTTGGTATAATTTATGTGTGTGTATATATAATATGCGCATATATAGTATATATACTGCATTTATTTGTATATATTGATATAATTTGTCATCTCAGCCTTACGGTTAAAATCAAGTATAGTATCTGTTCTGATCAATTTAATGTCTGATATGTTTTTTACCTGAAGACAATATATTAAATTTTAAAAGTACTCTAAATTATGACAGGTTTGCTCTAATTTTTATTTTCACATTTATTTCTTTATTGTATGTGACTATGTGGGCATGTTCATACTATGGTGCGCTTATGGAAGTCAGGAGACAACTTGCACAAACTGATTGTCACCTCCCACCTTATAGATTCTGGGGATTGAACTTAGGTCAGCAGGCTCTGTGGCAAGCACCTTTCCTGCTCAGCCATTTCACTGACTACTGTTTTAATGTCTTTCAAGTGAAAGACAGGAATGGAGAGATCTTTCCAAGCCAAGATGAGTTGGAGGAATCTGTTGTTGAGTGTTCTCAAAAAGGAAGAGCAAAGTAAAGTTGTGTATGGGTGGCCATGTATCCCCAACTGCACTTTCAGTAGACGGTAAGCCTGAGAAGTTCTTGGGGCATCCTTACCAATGGAGGTCACAGCCCTGGAATATGCCAGTGCCTGCTGCTCCGGGCTCAGACTCAGACTCAGCCACTCCTGTTCTGTGAGGTGCCACGGTACAATATCAAAGGACACCAAATCCTGAAATAAATCACATTGATAGTCAGTCTTTTAACCTAATCTGTAATGAGGCAGCATGGCACCAGTGATGCCAGGGGTAAGAACTTAGGGCCTGAAGTATTCATATCTGTGTATGTTGCTAATGTGGAGCTCTAACCACAATCCCAAGGAGTCCTAGAAAGAAAACATGATCAAGCTCAAGGAGACCTGGGCTGTCTGACCCTGGGACTCCCACTGTCTTCCCAAAGGACACAGACTTAGCTCTCTCACATATACAATGGGTATCATAAGCACACTGGGCATTCATTCCTTGGCAACCTGTGGGAGAGAAGCAGAGGACAGGAAAGAAGGCAGTAGCCAGGGCTCATACTCTGCTACATATCATGCTGAGCAAAGAGGCAAAGGCTGAGGCCAAAATCAGGGAGCAGTGACAAAATCTCAAGCAAGGAAAGAGGGAAGCACAGCTCACCTGGGCCTCCGGCATCTCAAGAGGGACTGCCAGGACCTGGTTTCCTGGGGCTCCATCTTGGGGAAGGGCAAGACCTTGGGGAGCAGGTGGAGCTAAGGAAAGTGAAAAAAGCTGTGAGTGACAACAGCCCTGTTTCTTGGTCCCCAGGGATGGCATTAGTGACTTCCTATTCCTTAGTTTTAAATCTTACAGAGTCTTCTCTCCCAGGTGGGGCTGAATGGCAAGGCAGAACATGAGTATGCCTGAGAAAACATATATGAAACAGTAGGAAAGTAGGCTGGCAAAGAATTAATATAGTAGGCCAGAGGGAGGCAAGATAAGACAAACAAATGCTAGCCTAGGCAGAGTCAAAGACAGCTACAGAGAGTTGCTGGCAGGAACACTAGCTGCCAGAGACTGGCTGACTACAGGGTTTCCTTAAAGTAAGCCTGGATGAGGCCAATATACACACTATACAGGAAGGAAGCACACTAAAGAGAGTACCAGAAGAAATAACTCAGAGATAAGGGGTCCTTTCAGGGACACCTGAAACTGATGGGGCCACTGAAAGGAAGAGAGATGGCAAAGAGCAAGAACTTGAACTTTGCTAGCAGTGGGGCCTTTAAAAGCACACCCTAGTGTAACAAGTCATTGGGAGAAAACCAGGAGGAACCCTCTTTATGTTATTCATCAAAATGGGAGGTTGGAAAAACAGCTGGAGAAAAATACTTCTAAGAAAAGATCTTCAAATATTACATTGATAAAGAAAAGATCTGAAGTGTGCATGTGTGTGTGTGTGACCTTTTCCTCCATGTTGCCAAGTAAGTGAGCTATTGTAAGCTTACCACAGATGCCTGTGTATTACAGGCATCCCACTTCAGTGAGTTCAAAGAAACAGCCACATAATTCAAGTTCTGATGTCAACTCAATTCAACTCATAATTAAGTGAAAAGGAAGCATTTTAGCATTAACAGAAGGACAACAAAAACCCAGGTAGTCCAGAAAGACTTAAATATGGCATCTTAGAAGGGATGAATGGAAATTTCCACATATGGCCTTGATGGAGTAACAAGGAACAGATTTAACACCAACAAACAAGTTTTCAACAATAGTTTTAAATACTAGGGTAGTAGGAAGCACAGGTTCAAGATCCCCAGAGAAACAAATGAGGCGATTCCTGTCATCAGTTCAGTGCTCTGCCTGGAGGCAATGTCCAGAATGAGAGTGTAGGAGGGGTGAAAGCAAACAAACAGAGCTTAGCAACCTCATCAGAAGGCCAGCATTCAGGGTGGGAGGGGAGGATGAAGGTTGCAGAGCAGAGTTCAGAAAGCACTGTGCTATGTAGGAAAAAGAAGTAAAAAGGTATGTATAAGGCTTCTCTTGAATCTTTTCTGACTATAAGTATTGAATGAACCTCCCAAGGACTATAAGCTGAACAGTTTCCAAGACATACAAAGATAGGGAGATGTTCAAGGTCTGATCACCACCCATAGAGTCTTTATGATCCCTAGGGACATTCAGAAGCCAATACAGAGGGATCATGCTTCAACGGTAAGATTTGTCTATCCTTAAAGCCCAAATTACAAAAGATCTGCCCTATAAAAACTTAAATATATGCCCCAGTGACATCAAACTGGCCCACAAATAACTACTCATAATCCTCAAAGTCTAGACAGTCAATGAAATAATCATTACAATGTGCAATTTCCAATAAAAAATTGAATTGCCAAGAAACACAAAAATGTGACCGACAGCAAAGAGAACAATCAGTCAATAGAAGCATCCAGAAATAAACAGAACTAACAGATAAGGAAAAACAATAATTTAACTACGCCCCAGCACTGTAAGAAAAACAGGGACACAGGGAGAAACAGAAGATATGAAAAGAACCAAATGAAATTTTTGTAGCTAAATATACATAGAAATAAATATTTCACTGGGTGTGATTAGATTAGATACTACAAGAAATAGTGGAAAACAAGAAGACATGGCAATAGCTGCTATCTAAATGAAGCCAGAGGGAGAGCTACCATCATAATTAAATTTCTAAAAATGCTAAGAGGAAAATCTTAAAAGTAGCTGGAGAAAAGAAACGATACAAAAGAAAGAAAATAATTAAGTATTATAACAAAAGAGTGTCAACCAAGAATTTTATAGTCAGGAAAAATATCCATCAAAAATGAAGGATAAATAAATATTTTATACAAAAACCAACATTTAGACAATTTGCCATTAGCAGCTCTGTACCATAAAATATATCAAAGGAAAACATTCAGGTGGAAGGAAATGGAATTAGGTTTAGAACTACACCAAGAATGTAAAGGCATAAGGAAACATAAGCCTTTCATCTTTTGCATTTCAAAATCTTTAAAATTTGACTGACCATTTCAAGAAAAAGCAGTAGCTAAACATATAAGCATGTGTTTTTATCAAGCTCTCCAAGACTCCACTGAATGGTAATACTCCAAAGGAAGAAAAGGAGAAAAGAAGAGATGGGACAAATGGAAATAAATAGCAGGATGGCAAACTTAAACTGCATCACACAGATAATTAAGTTAAATATAAATGGATTAAACACTTCAATCAGAAGGTACAAATTGTTAGATTGTATTAAAAAGGAAGAGTGCATACTGTCTAAAAAAGTGTTAAGGACACAGACATGTTAAAAGTAAAAGCACAGGGGGGCTGGAGAGATGGCTCAGAGGTTAAGAGCACTGGCTGCTCTTCCAGAGGTCCTGAGTTCAATTCCCAGCAACTACATGGTGGCTCACAACCATCTGAAATGAGATCTGGTATCCTCTTCTGGCCTGCAGGCATACATGCAGACAGAACACTGAATATGTAATAAATAAATAAATCTTTTTTTAAAAAAGTAAAAGCACAGAAAATAGTATACTTTAAAGAATAGGAAGAGTCTAATCTCAATATTTAAAAAAATATGTGGGAAGCAGAAAAATGACCAGGATGGCTCAGAGTTCTGAAGATTCTACTGAAAGGTCTTACAACTCACAAGAAGAAGAAACCTTGAAAGGTTTCAGTATAAAAATCAACAGGTGGCCAGACCAGGATAACATGCAGCAGATTTTTCAGAGAAGATACAGGTAGGGATAACATTTGACTGAAAACCCAAAGAGGAAAAAGAAAGCAGAGAAAACAAATACACATAATAGTCACATTTCATAGAAAGAAGGAAAACACTGAGACTGACCTGTAGCTAGAATAAGCACACTGATTCAATGTTTGTGTAGCTACAAAAGAAGAGAGACAAGGTCTGGAAAGATCTTCAGTTTCTTTAATGTGTTTAATGTGTGGCTTTTTAGACATCAAGCAGAATTTCATTGGTATCAGAAAAGTCCAATTTTAGATAGCCTTTGGTAGGTAAACCAGGGACAAGACAGATGCTCAGCATGCTAGAGAACAGGGCTGAGACCAATGAGACAGGAGAATGGCCCTTGAGGTCAGACAAAAAGACGAGTATTTCTTAGGATACCCGTATGTGGAAAAACAGTTACAGAGGACTAGTGGACATCTGTAAGCAGTCTGTGAAGGGGGAGTGACCAGAAAGTCTAAGCACAGACTTTTTGGAACCTTCTCCTTAAGCTATCAGCTTTATAGAAAGGTATAGTCAGAAGGTCTAATGTGACCTCAAAGTCCTTGTAAGCACTCCTACCCATTTTTAGCTGACTGCCTAGCAAAAGTGTTTCTCCAAATGTGTGAGGTCATCCTGAGATACTCAGTAGACAAACCCTCTCTTTGTTCCAGTGTCACCAAAGCAGGGTTCCTCTGGCTTAATGGATTCTTCTTCTTGGTATGCATTCAATGTCTAGTTTGATTTTGACTTCTTATACAAACACAATGAACTGGTCATAAATTTATTACATGATTTTGTTTTTAAAACAATTCACTTCCAATTGACATTGGTGTTACCAAATGAAATGGAGAGAGGGACATCACATCATGTATGCACTTCTGGAAAAAGATGGCCTAATTATAAACCTTTTCTTACCTTCAAGCCAGTAATAAGCTTTGGTCTAGAACACAATTGCATATCCTGCCCCCTCTTCAAAACCACCCCACCCATACACACTGACCTTCATGCAGATATATAGATGCCAAGGCTGTGGCCCTCAAAGCCTGTGAACCTGCCAAGAATTCTCTTATTGCAGAAGATTCCTTCTAATAATTCAGGCCTTAACTCAAATGTCACTTCCTTAAAATCTCTTTATTCTCCAGCCCTGGCAGTTTCCTTCAAACATTTTCACTAATGAAAAATCCTGCTTTGAAGTTGCTTATTTTTCTCAGAAAAAAATCTGATCCAACAGGACAGGGCCTTTTCTCCAATGGTTACCCCTAAATTCCCAGTATCTGTAGCAGCTCCTGACACCATGTAGGACATGACATGATGTACTATGGAACAACGGAATCAATGTGAGCCAGAGTGGTTTGTTAGATGGAGCAAGCTTCTTTTTATGAAGCACATAGGATGAATATTTGGAATTGTGTGTCTCCTGTCACATAATTTCACTATCATAACCTAGAACTGGTTGTTATCACCACCATTTTCCAGAAAATAAAGAATGTATAACCCTATGCACCCAAGCCAGAACCAGAAGATCAGTTGATAGTGAGCACTGTGCAGGCTTCACGGTATAGATGAATGTTTTGTAGCTACCTTTAAACCATATTATCAACATGCCATTGCAGAGCCTCAGTGCATAAATACATACATCATTCTTTTCCTCTGTTACACACACACACACACACACACACACACACACACACACACACGTCTTCCAAACTATGTACCTTTAATGGAGCAAATCCCACTAAAGTGTTTTTTCTTAATTGGCACGATGAACTGTTAAAGTCCTAGAGCTACAACTCTAAAAGAACTGTTAATTATCTTTTCTATATAGCAATACGAGTAGCCCTTCCTGTACTAGTTTACTCCAGGGATTTGGCTTGAGAGCACTTTAGCTCCTGGTGGCTATGTGATGGCCACCCATAGTAACAGAGAACTTGAACACACAGAGATAATTTAAAAGGTACTCATGAAAACAAGAGGGAAAAAGTTGGCCCTGCTTTCACAAAAGGAAGCTAAACTCTACCCAATTAGCTAAGTGTGGCAGGTAAAAGAGCTTATCCTAAGTATAGGAAAATCATTTAAAAATAATAATACACATGAATCCCTACTGTGGTTAAAAATAAAACTACTACCAATCCTGAAGACAATTGGATCACTTAGTCTCTGTGTTGCACAGCTATCCCACTTTAACATGGTGGAATATAATCTAGAAAAGAAGCTGGATGCAGTGACAATCACAGATATCCATTGCCTTCTGAAATAGATCTTTGGAGATCAAGGTCAAAGCAATTCCATATAGAACATGAAAGTCATTGTAGTGCGACCAATCGACATGGAGGGTAATGCTAACCTTGAACATAAGACACTTTTATTTAGGATATAAAAGCGTACCCTGAAGTCTAAAGAATTTTCCATGGTATATTAGTACCTATAACTGGGAAAGAAAGCTGAGAGAACCACTGCAGGAAAACAAACCAACTTTTAAGGTAAGCAACACTGTCTTTCTTTACATGGGACACAAAGGCCAGGACTATCCATACCCAGAGCACAAAGGCTTTGTCAAGGTTAACTGCAAATTTCATATTGGGTATAGCCAAGTCCATGTATGCTGCATCTGTTTAATAAACATCTGCTGTGAGAAAACATGTACGACAACAGTGTCAGTGTCAATTGCAGGGCTAGACAACTATGAATTCTAAAACACCAGAGCTCATGTGGTAAGAAAATCTTGCTTTAGAGCAATATATACAAATTTTTTAAATGTATTAATGTATAGTCATTGATACTTCCACATATGTGTTTACTGCAGTATTATTCATAGAATCAGCCTGAGCATCCATCAACAGATACATAAATATGGTATACAGACACAATAGAATTTTATTCAGTCACAATGTAAGTTACTTAAGCAATTTACTGAATTTACTGCATGGAATTACAAACACTAAGGGACCCAAAATATTTTCACCTGAAATTGAGCTGAATTCAACAGCGATATAAAACAACTTTTATCATTAAAAACTGGTAAACAATTTGGTGTCTTTTATATTTCTCTGGACAGGTATTATGTTTCTGTGGCAGCAGGATAGGAAGAGGCAGCAATGTCACTCAAATAAGACCCATCTGGAAGTTTCCAAAAGCTTCCAAGGGTGCCCCAAACACCTAGAGTGCCTCAATATTGAAATGAGAACCTGCAGTAGGAATATCTTTAGGACATGCTGGTTTAGGTTTTATCATCAAGTTTACACAAACCTCGAGTCACCTAAGAAGAGGAACCCTTAACTGAAGAAGTACCTCAATCAAAATGTCCTGTGGCCAAGTTTAGGAGAGATTTTCTTGGTTGATGGTTGATGTTGGAGGGGACCACCCTTAGGCAGGAGAGGCTGAGCTGTATAAAAGGCTAGCTAAGCAGTGAACCAGATAGCAAGTCAGTGAGTAGTGTTCCTTCATAGTTCCTGCCCTGGATTCCCTCAATGATGGACTATGACCTGGAAGTATAAGCCTAATAAACCCTTTCCTCTCTTAGTTGCTTTTGATCAGAGTGTTTTATCACACCACCAGAAAACAAAACTGGAAGAGAGCACAAAACTTAACTGTTCAATTCCCTTTAGGGCCAGGGCAAATGTGTTTCAAGGTTGTGAACACATGAAAGAGATCTGGTCCCAATGGGTGCTTTCAGCTCCTTCTCCCACACAGTGATCCCCTGGTCTCCCCATTTTCCTTGCCAGGCACCTTCTCTCCCTGGCACGGTGTGTCTAAGATTGCCAGAATTGTTTCTGGGCAAGTAGTTCAGCAACACTAGCATATATGAGCTTCCAGAACCCAAACACTTTTTTATTGTCTTGTACCTTCCAGCAGCACAGCAGACACATTCTGCAAACATCTAGACTTACCCAAAAGAGACACACAGGGATGACTCATCTCGTTTTAGAACAGTTCCAAGAGATTAGTCCAATAAGGAAGGTCTCACCTGTTGGATTGGAATAACTCGGGTGAACAGAAGCAGGCTCATATGTGCACCTTCCAGGAACCTGTCCTTTTGGTAATGAGTGCTCAAGGGCAGGACAAGCTGTATAACTGAACTGGCACTGCCAAGGCCTGGATGTACTTCAGTGAGTCAACAGTGCAAGCACTACTGAGTGGGCCCTGGGGCTACAGGTGCTCCTGGCCTTTATGTTCTTAAATGAATCTGGCAGGCTAGGAGATGGGCAAGAGGCTCATAGGCCCATCTTGTACTGTGAAATCTGGCTGCTCCTCAAAAGTACAGAATCCTAAAAGGTCAAAAGCGATGACTGTCTTACCAGGAAAGTCTGTTTCTCTTGGGATATTTGTGTCTGTGTTATCTTTTTCTGTATGTGTGGGTGGGAAGGAATCTGTTTTCTCTCTCACTTTGCCTGGGCACCTGTCTCTCTGTTTAGGTTTCCCTCTTTATTCCATTCTATAAAAAGCCAGAAGGTAGACCAGAAGGGGATTTTGTAGTGTTTGTTGTGTTTAATTGAGGAAAGGTTTATGTTCCCATTTCTCCATGAATATGCACTGATATCTTTCTAAAAATCAAAATAAATTATAAGTATAGAATCACTGAGGTTACACTCTCTGGATATAAAAGATTCCAAACTGGGGATATGGTGAAAGGCTATACAGCTGTCCCAGGCCATTCAAAGAACCCAGTTTTGGAAGGGCTGGATAACTGTGTTAGAAACCAGACTTTTGATTCAGTGAAAATTCTAGTGGTAGAGCAGCAGGTCTGGGTGGGTGTCACGGAATTGGCATCTTTCAACATGCAGACATTGGGGCTGTCTAGAATTTGGGGGTTCCCTCGTGTCTCCTATTAGACAGCTTTCCCATCCAGGAGCTTCTTTCTGAGGCTGTGCTGGTAGTCAGACTTTGGGCAAGAGAACTCACACTTTTAAGCAGATTTTCTAAGGGTTCTACCATTGACAGAAGGCTAGAAATCATTGTCCCGTGGAATTCTAAATACAGATCCAGGACCACTTTGGAGCAATGGACCAGACTGTGTCAGGCACTGCGAATGTTGTTTCTATAACAAGGCCCAATGGGAGAAAGGATAAGACACGTAGTCCTAGGAGAGGTGCTATTCAACTGGTCCCATTCGAAATTTCTGCTAAAGGAAAATGTAGGGGCTGAAGGTTAAGAGGAAATGTTCCACTGGCCAAGGAGACTGGAGGGGGCTGGCTGCCTGGGAGTGCAAGGCTGACTAGAGGGTGTCAGTTGGCACAGGGTGAACCCTCTGGGAAGAGAGCCAGGAATGGGCGGTGGTGGGAGGGGGCTGAAAAGGACCATGGGCTTTGGGCAGCAGACAAGTGGGAGTACGTGCATGTGTTAAAAGACATGCAATTAATCACCCAAATATAGACTGGAGGAACCAGCAAAGTAGTTTAGGAGAAGGGGGCCATGGAGTATTGCCAGAAAATGTGGCTTCCAGGAGGGCCACAGTAGAAACTCTTTTCCTCCAGGAAGGACTCTTCTGCACCCCCAGCTGTCTGCCTTAGGCAACATACCTGCCCCCATTATCCTCATGCAACCCCCACTCAAATGGAAAGGTAGGTCTCCCCAAGCTGGAATCTTCTTCAGGACCCAGAGGAGCAACCCCTCCCCCATACTGGAAAAAGTCTGTTCAGCTATTCTCCACTAGGCCAATGCCCGCAGCCACCATGTGCGGCCTCCATGTCGATAGGGGCTGTGTGTGGGGGTCTACCCCCAGCTCCTGAACGGTTCCCAATCCTTAGCATCCTCCAAAGAGCAGCACAGGCCTCAACACACCCGCAATTCCTGCCTTTGACCGCTGCCCCCTACCCTGCACGAGAAGGCCTCAGGGCCTTCAATGCCCACCCATCACCAGAGACGGGTCCCCTTCGGCCCCTGGCTTGTCCCAGGCCAAGCAGTTCCCCACTCTGCCCCCTACCCTCCCCCGCATATTCTCCCGCGGTCCACGCACTCACTCAAGCCCCCAAGCACATTCTCCCGCCGCCCCGCAAGCTCTCTAGGGCCGCACATCCTTGATCGCACACATCTCTCACGATCACTTGAGCTGCACGTCCTTCCCGCGGTCTGCACGCTCACCCGGCCCACAGCGCCTGACTCTGGGCCCTTGCAGAAGCGGAGTTGGCCGGGTGCAAGCAGGCCTGGCGTGGCAGGAAGCGTCGTGAGAGCAGCCAGCTCTGGCGAAGCCCAGCAGCCCCACGGCTTGTTTCCGGAGCCTGGGCGCCGCCTAGGTACTGAGAGTGAAGCCCCGCCCCGGCCTTGGCCTGTCTAAGATTGGCCTGAAAGGGGGTAGGACGGATGGGGGCGTGTCTGGGGCGGGGTGAGGAGAGGAGGTGGGGTAGGTGAGATTAGAGGAGCAAAACACATGAATCCTGTGTGATGAGAGAATAAACATGGAAAGAATGTAAAAAAAGAATGATGAATGAATAAATGAGCAAAACAAATTGATTAGTGGTGGAGACAATAAAGAAACTGACAAGGCTAGGACCTTCATAATGATGTTAGGGCTGGGGGAAGTCACTGAAGAAAAGAGTGCAGGGGTCGAATCCCTCATAAAGTCATGCGTGAGCCTTTATTGTGCCAGACAACGGGAATACAACCGTGAACAAAACTAGACCTTTATGCCTATCCTAAGAGCCACACATCAGGCACCTCACAGCCCCTTTGAGAGTATTGTATGTGAATTAGGGGACAGAGACCAGTAAATAACAGTAACCTGAATTTCAGAATAGCAGGTTATACCATGAATCCCAAAACAAGTGTCCTGGTTTAGAGGTGCTACAAGTGGTTGCCAGTTCAAGATGACTTTTTTGGTCAGCTTCACAGCTCTGCTTTGTGCATCCTTAGCAACACAAGTAACTGCTTTCTTAAAGTGGTTTCCGGAGTAAGCCACTAATAAACAAAGATCAACATAAAACCCTTCAGAAGAGGGGCTAGAACTTCATCCAATATCCATCCAGGTGATGTTTGTAGTGATCAGGAGGGAAGTATGTGCATGCTTCTGTGAAAATGCAGCATTTGCTGCCAAAAGCAACATCAAAGATAAAACACCCTGTCATCCAGATAATCTTGGCATATCCAGCATAAGAAAGGAAGGTCAGGTGCTGGAGAATTAGCTCAGCCTGAAGAGTGCTTGTCTTGCAAACATGAGGACCTGAGTTCACTCCCTAGTGTAGCAGGAATCTTAAAAGTTCTTATTAATAAAATCAAACCTGGAGCCAGGTATTGGGGTGAAATGCTGGAAGGTCAGAGAGACAGAACAAGCCACAGCTAACCTCACCTGGCCAACTTCTCAGCTGATCCTGTTTCCTCAGACTGGAAGCCTCTGACTCATCCAGAATGGCTCTCAGCTGAACTGCTGCTAGAAGCCTGAAAGCTTAACCAGCCAAATGCTTCTAGTTCCTGGTCCTCATGCCTTATATACCTTTCTGCTTTCTACCACCACTCCCTGGGATTAAAGGCTCGCTTTCTGGGATTAAAGGTGTGAGTCACCATGCCTGGCTGTTTCCAATGTGGCCTTGAACTCACAGAGATCCAGAGGGATTTCTACCTCTGGAGTGCTAGGATTAAAGGTGTGAGTGCCACCATTTTCTAGCCTTTGTATCTAGTGGCTGTTCTGTCTCTGATCCCAGATAAGTTTATTAGGGTGCTCAATATTTTGGGGAACACAATACCACCACACCCTAGTACCCACATTACAAATGGGAGAGGCAACTTGTGTGCATAATCCCAGTACTGGAGAAGTGGAGATAAGTGGATGGCTGGAGTTGGATGGCTAGCCAGTCTAGCCTATTTGGCGAGTTCCAGGCCCGTGAGAGACCATACTTAAAAACCAAGGAATGACACTTGCTGTTCTCCTTTGACCTCCACAGGCACATATACATGCACATGCGTGTGCATACACAGGAACACACAAATGGAGCCCTGGAGTGCCAGGAGGACAGGAAAAGAGGCTCTAGAAGCATGGCACTGAGTGGGTTCTGGGGGATGTGTTCTACCTTTTTCCTCTTTCATTTTATTCATAAGCATTTAACTCATTGTAATGAATACAACCTACATTCTATTCTTCTTTTAATATTTATTTTTATTTTGTGTATGACTGATTTGCTTGCATGCATGTATGTGTACTACATGCATGCCTGGTGCCCATGAAGCCAGAAAAGAGCATCACATCTCCTGGAACTGGAGTTACAGACAGTTGTGAACTGCCATGTGGTTGCTGGGAATTGAACCCTGGTCCTCTGGAAGAGCAACCAGTGTTCTTAACCTCTGAGCCATCTCTCTAGTTCCCCCTTTCTATTCCTGTAACAATTTTGTTGGTTAGATACCATTTTTCTTATTTTATCTCTACATTTTATTATGAAAAATTTGCAACATACTGAGCACTAGAAAGCTGGTGCCTATGTACCAATCCTTAATCCTCTACAACAGCATTAAGTTGTATTTGCTAGATTCTATGTTTGTCTTTATTTTACTGACATATTTCAAAATAAGGTGCAATTAATACACTTTAACACTAAGTACCTCAGCAAGTGTAACAATAACTAGAGGTAAATATTTATGTACTATCCTTTTATCTTTTGGAGGCAAAATTTACATTGAGTGAAATGTACAGATCTAGATGCTAAGTTTTGACAAATACCTTTCTTAAACCCCTATCTATATATAAACCTTTATGAGGTGTTTGGAAATTTCCCATGCATCCTATTCTGGCCCATTTATAGCAAGATTCCACAGGGGAAGCCATTATTCTATTTTTTTTCACCATAGACAGCCTATTTGAGTAATTACTATTGCATGAGAACGGAATCAGATAGTATATACTATTTTATACTATCTTATGTCTGGATTCTTTCCTTTACTATGATACTTTGAGATTCCTCTATATTATTGAAATATGTTCCCTTTCCTTTCATTGCTGAGTCACATTTCATTGTACGGTTAGTTGATTCATTCACCACTTTATGATGTGGGCTGTTTCCAGTTTGGGTTGTTATTCACTATATGAATAGTTTTGTATGTTTTTGTGTGAACATATGCTTTCATTTTTCTTGAGTAAAAACCTGGGAGGGGAATTTGCCATGTCATAGGGTAGTTGTATGTGTTATTAGCAACTGCCAGAACGTTTTTCAAAGTGGATATGTAATTGAGACTCCTACAAGAAATATGTGAGAGTTCACTTTCTTTCTCATCCTCATCAACATTTATGTTGCCAACTTTTATTTTTATCCATTCAAGTGGGTGTGAAGTGATTTCTGGGATCATTTCCTTGATGACTAATTACATTAAATATGTTTTGTGTTTGAAGTGCTCATTTCTGTACCTTCTTTTCTAATGTGTCTGCTCAAATTATTTGCCCAACTCTTCACAGTTGTCTTTTTCTTATGTGTTTTTAAAAATAAAACCACATGTGCTGGAATTTGATATGCAATAAATTGCATATTTAAACTGTGGTAATTAAATTTTGATAAGGTTTCATAAATACACAAGCAACTATGAAGTCTTCCACAAAATGAAGGCAATAGCATATCTATTACCTTGAAAGTTCATCAGATCCTGGTAATCTCTTTTCCTCCTCTCCTATGCCCAGATAGCCAATGATTTGCTTACTATTCCCAAAGTTGTTTGTATTTCCTAGAATTGTATATTGCTTCCTGTTTGGTGGCTTCCACTCAACAATTTGATGATATTCTTAGTCTGTTGTACTTCTACAATAAAATAATTGAGGCTGGGTGTTATGGTTTAAATCTATGCCTTCAAAGTCTAGGAATTGTCAATCTGATCATATTAAGAAATGAGACCTTCAAGCCAGGCAGTGGTGATGCACACCTTTAATCCCAGCACTAGGGAGGCAGAGGCAGGAGGATCTCTGTGAGTCTGAGGACAGCCTAGTTTACAGAGTAAGTTCCAGGACAGCCAGAGCTACACAGTGAGACCCTGGTTCAAAAAAATCAATCAATGAGACTTTCAAGAGGGGCTACATGGGTCAGAGATGTTTGTTTCTTGCTAATTTTTATTGATATCATCTCCAGTAAAATGTTGAGCAGAAGTTGTGAGAGTAGACATTCATTTCTTGGCCCTGATTTTAGAAAGAAAGCACTCACTTTCCACTCTTAAGCATGACAAGACTTATAGATTTGCCACAGATATCCATTGTCAGGCTAAGAAAATTGTCAACTTGTTCTGGGAATTTAAAATAATTCTTTTAAAAAATCTGCAGTGAATGTTGGAGTTTTTCCAAATGCTTATGGTACAACCACTGAGTTAATTATCTTCCTTCTTCCTTCTTCATTTGTTAATATATTGAATTACATTTTGACTTGTATTTCCTTGAGCAACTCTGGTTGTAGCAGGAATCTTAAAAGTTCTTATTAATAAAATCAAACCTGAGCCAGGTATTGGGGTGAACTGAAAGATCAGAGAGACAGAACAAGCCACAGCTAACCTCACCTGGCCAACTTCTCAGCTGATCTTGTTTCCTCAGACTGGAAGCCTCTGTGTCCTCATATCTGAATGGCTCTCAGCTGAACTGTGCTGCTCAAAACCTAAAAGCTTAACCAGCCAAATGCTTCTAGTTTCTGGTTCTTACGCATTATATACCTTTTTGCTTTCTACCATCACTCCCTGGGATTAAAGGCTCACTTTCTGGGATTAAAGGCATGAGTCACCAAGCTAGGCTGTATCCTTGAACAGATGGATTTCTGCCTCTGGAATGCTAGGATTAAAGGCGTGTGCTACCACTGCCTATCCTAAGTATCTAGTGGCTTTTCTGTTCTCTGATCCCAGATAAGTTTATTAGAGTGCACAATATTTTGGGGAACACAATACCACCACATCTGGTTATGACATTCTATCCTTTGACATTTTTAAAGTCACATTCCTAAAATGCTCTTTAGAATGTTTTATGTATATGTTCATTAACTATACTGATTTATAGTTCTCTTTTTTCAGTTATTGAGTCTCATTACCAAGACTAGCAAAAAGAAAAAAGAAAAATAGCAAAGTAAATGCAAAATAAGTAGAAGGAAGGAGGTATTCTAGACAAGATCAGAAATCAATGAAACAGAAGACAAACTCGGGAGAAAATGAGTAAATCATACATGTTTTAAAAAGTAGTGAGGTTTATAACCCTTGGAATGTTAATTAAGAAAAATATGATATATTTAATCATTAGTATCAGGAATAAAAAGGGTATTGCCACAGATCATGTAGGTATTAGAGAATAATGAGGGTACGTAAT